TCCACTTTGACAGAGTATTTTGTATTACTTCGTAAAACAATACAATTTGAAGAAATCCAAGGGGGGTGTAGACTTTCTATAGACACCATATGCAAAAATTTAGGTTTAAATACTACAGCTGCATATTCATATTAGCCAACACGGTATATCCTACACATATACCTTGCAATTCAATCTCTAAAAACAGCTGAACAAAATGTATACAACGTGCTCTGTAATATGATGACCAGTTTGATTCCTAAACCAGAGGAGTTCAAATGTCAGCAGCTGACCAATACCATGGAGGGCTTGCATAATGTTGGATGCATTGGAATATAAGGTATGGAGAATGATAGTCTGCAGAACTATAGAAAAAGCAGTTGGGAAATTAATGTTTGAGTTTCAAATTCTAAAATGTTCAGTGACTAGATTTAGGTGGTTTAAATGATTAACCTAACTTTCCTACTAACCTTCTAAAAGTTGACAGTGCCAAATTCTTGTAAATCCATTATTCTGCTACTATCTATGGCTGAGTGAGGCATACATTTAATACATATACATTTGAACAAAGAACATCACGTTTCACCATTTATTGAGTACAGAGACAAACCGCAAAGGTGTCTCCGGCAGTATTTGAAGTATCTAAATATAGTATAACCTACCAATCAATGTATATAGAGAGAGAAGTGTACGCTCTTACAATGTTGCAGTCCAGAAATGAGAGCTTTTACCATCCATCTATAGAGACAGTCGAACTCACCACTGTAGACAACCGATGTAGAGGAGCGCTTTAGAATTCTCCCCACTGCATGTTACAATAGTAAAATATAAATCTGTCATCAACTCGTCAAACTGATTCTAAACTCAGCAAAAAAAGAAACGTCCCCTCACTGTCAAATGCGTTTATTTTCAACAAAATTAACATGTGTAAATATTTGTATGAACACAAGATTCGACAACTGAGACATAAACTGAACAAGTTCCACAGACATGTGACTAACAGAAATTGAATAATGTGTCCCTGAACAAAGTGGGGGTCAAAAGTAACAGTCAGTATCTGGTGTGGCCACCAGCTGCATTAAGTACTGCAGCGCATCTCCTCCTCATGGACTGCACCAGATTTGCCAGTTCTTGCTGTGAGATGTTACCCCACTCTTCCACCAAGGCACCTGCAAGTTCCCTGACATTTCTGGGGGGAATGGCCCTAGCCCTCACCCTCCGATCCAACAGGTCCCAGACGTGCTCAATGGGATTGAGATCCAGGCTCTTCGCTGGCCATGGCAGAACACTGACAATAATGTCTTGCAGGAAATCACGCACAGAACGAGCAGTATGGCTGGTGGCATTGTCATGCTGGAGGATCATGTCAGGATGAGACTGCGGGAAGGGTACTACATGAGGGAGGAGGATTTCTTCCCTGTAACGCACAACGTTGAGATTGCCTGCAATGACAACAAGCTCAGTCCGATGATGCTGTGACACACCGCCCCAGACCATGACGGACCATCCACCTCCAAATTGATTCCGCTCCAGAGTACAGGCCTCGGTGTAACGCTCATTCCTTCAACGATAAACGCGAATCCGACCATCACCCCTGGTGAGACAAAACCGCGACTCGTCAGTGAAGAGCACTTTTTGTCAGTCCTGTCTGGTCCAGCGACGGTGTGTGTGCGCCCATAGGAAACGTTGTTGCCGGAGATGTCTGGTGAGGACCTGCCTTACAATATGCCTACAAGCCCTCAGTCCAGCCTCTCTCAGCCTATTGCGGACAGTCTGAGCACTGATGGAGGGATTGTGCGTTCCTGGTGTAACTCAGGCAGTTGTTGTTGCCATCCTGTACCTGTCCCGCAGGTGTGATGTTCGGATGTACCGATCTTGTGCAGGTGTTGTTACACATGGTCTGCCACTGCGAGGACGATCAGCTGTCCGTCCTGTCTCCCTGTAGCGCTGTCTTAGAAGTCTCAGTACAGGCATTGCAATTTATTGCCCTGGCCACATCTGCAGTCCTCATGCCTCCTTGCAGCATGCGTAAGGCACGTTCACGCAGATGAGCAGGGACCCTGGGCATCTTTCTTTTGGTGTTTACAGCGTCAGTAGAAAGGCCTCTTTAGTGTCCTAAGTTTTCATCACTGTGACCTTAATTGCCTACCATCTGTAAGCTGTTAGTGTCTTAACGACCGTTCCACAGGCATATTTTCATTAATTGTTTATGGTTAATTGAACAAGCATGGGAAACAGTGTTTAAACCCTTTACAATGAAGATCTGTGAAGTTATTTGGATTTTTACAAATTATCTTTGAAAGACAGGGTCCTGAAAAAGGGACGTTTCTTTTTTTGCTGAGTTTATATTGAATTTAGTCTTTAAACAAGCATGTGTATCTGTAGTTGGTGCTTGTCAACTCTAAAATACACTAGACTGTGTAGACTTTGTAAGACAAAACCAACAGACAAATGCATATGGGGTCTCAATGTTTAATGGTGATGGCAGGGATAGTTAAAACTGCAGTAGGATGGTTCTCCACACAGGTGAGTGATTCAGCTGAACCCATGCTTGGTGAGTAGCACTTAGTTGATCTCTGGGAGCAGGACACAGGAGAGGAGAGCTGAATAGATTGTGGGAGACTAACGCGAGAGACCAGATTGAATCAAAGAAATCACAGCAGCAAACAATTGTAGTTTGAGCTAGAAATGAACATCTTGACAGTCTTAAATTACAACAACTAGGCTACAAGGACAAAGGCAGGGTGCTCTGCATCCTACTCCAACTAGGCCTATTGACAGGGATAATGTGGCATTTTATTTGTCAGCATGAATGAAGTTAGTGAGTTCTGCCTTGATGACTGTATTAGCTTTACAATACTTGTCCTATAGATTTTTGTAGTCTTAAATTATTACTTGGAATAATTATAGCTAAAGCTCCCTGTCCCAGAATGACTTGCTAGTAGTGATGAAGCCATCTGCTCCTGCCAGCTAGCAACAGGTCTACTGGTTGTAGCTAGCTAGCTACATTTCTAAGGTTACTGCATTGTAAGTCAAGTTGGGAGTTATTTTACAGAATGCATTGATGGTATCACGTTTCAATAACTAAATTGATACCAAAATATAAATAAATACTTTACCAGATAGCAGTTTGTCAGACTGAGATCTCGAGCTGTCACCAGCTGTGCTTATGTACATTAGGTATGGAGAACATGATTCGCAGACTTGTCCAGCAGAGATGGTACCTGGATAGTACACACATTTTGATTGGTTTACTGTTTAGTACTTGGCAGCGTTTGCCTGTCCAGCTAGCGAACGTAAAAGTATTTTGCAAGAATTGACATTGCCAAACGGAAATGCGTTCAGAAAAAATAATACACGATATGTAAAAACCAGCTCCTCCCTCAGCAGAAACCAATCATCTCGAAAACTAAAGCAGATACGATGCATCGGCCCACCATCTATGACTGGATCTCCTGAGCCAAGGCCCAGAAACCTGTCTGGAAACCATAGGGTGGCTGCCTTGGCCTCAAATTGGACTAAATACAGTGTGGGAAAGAATACACTGATATTCAGGGAATGATCTTGCAGAGCATAATTCCCATGTAGGCAGCTTCTCAAATCTGCCTCTCCTTTTCCATGCCACACTAAATGACTAATTAAGACAACACAATAAAGGCATGATGCTTTATTTCCCAATCACAAACATTTTGGGGGTTTTACACTTATTTATAAACAATATAAAATTATATTTTATGTACACAGCAAAGTCACTCAACTATTCACAAAAGACAATTTAAACGTACATCATTCGTAAAAGTCCCAGTTCTTTTTACATTTGAAAGCACCAATTGAGTTTGGCAAGTTTCATAATAAATATGGCCTACATTTTCAGATTTAGGCCAAACACTATACATTCCAGGTCATGAATCTCAAGAGATGGGTTCACAACCAACAGGTATCACAGTCAACATTGACCATTATAGATAGTCTAAAGGAAGTTGTATATAGTATAAGAGAGCTGCCCAACATGATACAATGTAGGGTGGACAGTAGCACAGTGATGGTTTTGCATAGTCTTAACCGCTTTAAAAAAGGGACCACGAATTGGGAGGTGACCCTGGTGATATGAGAAGCTAGTCAAAGAGAGGGAAGGGGTAACTCCAACAGACATGAGTGTGGTGGTGACCTTTATACACTGGAGACATTTAATTACTTTTCTCAGAAATGATATTCTATGACTTAAAGGTTAACCTTGCAAGGCTGCTACGTAAACGCCAGGCCTTTGATATACAAGATATAGGAGTACAGAGTAGACGGCCTGAAGACCATCAAAGCGTTGTAAACATTTCCTAGCGAAGTTCACCAAATACAATTTGTTGTTTGATGGCTAAATATCCATTTCAATTAATTAAACATTATTTTGACATTTATGTGCAATATATTGATGGGCTATAGACAATCTGTAGATAAAATTGTAGCGCCATGTAAAATACTGATAATACAAATACAAACAAGGTGGCGGGAGACATGGCTGGACGAGGGCTACATTCAGATGGATTTACAAACAAAAAAATAACTCAACTAAAAATGTGGTTTAAGAGGTCTTCACTGTTGGTGCATGACATTCTGACAACACTTGGTGTGACAGAGTAAAATGTAAAACAAAAACAATTATCTATAAAAAGAAACATTCCAGCATGGACCAAATACTGTCAACTGGGGATGAATAAAATTTCTAATAATTATGTTTGGGTTCAACACAAAAAAAAATATTCTAAATATCTCAAACTGCATAGTGATGGTGAGGAAGATAGATGCTTTATAAAGCCCTGTCAAACGCCACGCCATGGCCTGACAGCACTCCCATGTCTCCTTGCCACACTTTTTGTTTTTAAATATAACCTGTTAGCACGATCTCAATACAAGCAGCTCTCCTAAATGTCCTTCAGGTGTTTGGTGTTGAAACTTACCAGATGTATCATTGAATAATGTGAGTGAGTACCATGTCTATGAGGAGTCGAATCCCTCAGAAGGGGGTGTCACTGGCCAGGGTGATCAGGGTTGCAGGTTGACGACACACTGGAGCAGCGCTCCGGGAGGGTGTTGTTATTGTCCCATACCCCAGTCTGTGAGCTGGCTGTGCAGCCCAGGGCCTTGGCCAAATCTGGGCACACTGTGATACACAGCCGCTGGAAGAGCAGGCAGAACTTTCTACGGAAGCTGCGGTTGATCCAGAAGTAGAAGATGCAGTTGAGGAAACCGTTGGAGGTTGGCAGCCACACCACCACAAACTCCATCCACTCCGGAACTCTGTTTCCTGAGATGGCTGGTGGAAGAGACAACAGAGAGAGAGAAATACATAAAAGGGCCAACATAGGGCTATGAAATAAAAGACGGACTAAGCACAAGCTTTGACATTAAACACATCATATAGGCCTCCTGAGTAAAGCCTGTCACATGCTTCCCAGTCTAAACAGTTTTGCACATAGGCTATATTATGATGAAAATGTGACTTTTTATTTGTTTTGGTGTTTGCCAGGTTCTTTTTTCTGTGTCTGTTCGTGGATACATTTTTTTCTTGAGGCAAGTCAAAGTTCGCCAAAGTCTACATCCCTTCTTCAGTGATCATCAACAGTACTACTTCTAGTAGGTGTGGGAACTATGGACGGGATTCTTCAATTAAGTGTTTGTTGTCATTCAAGAAGAGACGACTAGTTTTCATGCACATTTTTTCACTTGAGAAATACTGCACCAAACATCTTAGTTAGATGTAAAATTGCACGACTAAGATCTCCTCTGCAAAAACTTCACATAGCCAAGTTACCAAACCGAACCTAGTATGCGGCGCCTTTAGGCAAACACATTTATAAATAACGAAAAACGAAACTTCCCTTGTCTATCACGAACGTTGAATAAAATGATGTTAACTTACTCTGCCGATTGTCCGTGGGGTTGGTTCTTCAGTGGGTTGAAATTTGAGACAAAATATCCACAGAAAAGTATTATTACAGACTTAAAAATGTGGGACTGTGTGACAATCAAGATGTGTTTGCTCCTGACCCAAGGCACGTGCACAAGCCTAAAGGACATGCATGCATACTGACCAAAGTCTTGCAGGTGTTTACATGGTTTTCCGCATGTGCCAGGTGATAGATAATTCAGCAGCAATCCCAGCGCTCTAAAAAGTCAGGTAAATAACACTTTCCTGTGGCTAATTTGTCTCAGAAGTAGATCCAATGAACGACCAACTATACTGACAACCAGTAGGGTAAAATGTAATGTAAATTTATTCAAGATTCTTGCTTATAAGGAAACGTTCCCCGTTTACACTGATTAGTTTCAGGCTGTATACCAGAAGTTGCCGGGATCACAGTCTGATTCACCAGCCTACCTCAGTTATCTTACACCCAGCACATTGGCATTTCCACTTTACAGCCTTGTAGCCTACATTTGTTAGGGTTATTTTCCTGAGCTCATATAGGAGGGTGGTGACTTTGGGAAAAACATGCACCCTGTCTGAATTTTAGATGTTCCATCTACAAGTTTAAAAAGTTTCCCGCATCCCCTAAATGTAAACCAACTGGTTCCTTCTATAGGCCTACTCACCATTATAGATAATTGCCGCCATGCACGGCGTCCAACATGTGTAGTACACAGTCATCACAGGGACAAGCACCCTGGAGGCTACGTCGGGTCTGTTGTGACGACCCAGGTGTTGTGTGCGCATCTTTAACCGCTGTCTCTTTGCAGCAAACCAAAGGCGCAGGTTTGCGCAAGTCATGATGATTGAACAAGGAAAGAAGATGAGGCACGTCAACGTTAGCGTGTACACAACGTTAGTAGAGTACGATGGATTGCAAACTAGTGACGCTGTAGAAAAATGGACCTCAATTATCCCGTTAGGAAAAGATATGGGCACAAGTAAAAATGGAGGAAAACACCATGCAAACGCGATCAGAAGCAGCGTTCTTCTCCTGGTCATCAGTGAGGAGTACTTCAGCGGGTAAAACACTGCAATGTATCTTTCTAGACTTATTGTAGCCAGTGTGTACATGCAAGTCGAATAGATCGTCGCGTTGAAGAAAGCCACAATGTGACAGAGGGTGTCTGGGCCTTCGCTGTAGTCTTTCGCAAGACTGACGCACAGATTCAAGGGCGTGATGATCAGTCCAAACGCCGAATCAGCACCGGTGAGTGAGAGTAAAAAGTATCGAGAGTTCCTTGACCAGCCGGACACCGATGAAGAAATCACCAGAATAACTGCAATATTCCCCAACGTGATCATCGCTCCTAAAACTGATATTATGCCAATTTTAATGGGCCGGTGCCGTTCTAGAAGTATTTGCGTATCGGTGCTGGTTAGATTGGTGTCGGACTCGGACAAATTGAGTGTTGGAAACATTGTCCTTCACAAACTCTGGCATTTGTCGGTCATATTGTTTGTCACTTCCTCTGTAAAAACACCCAAGGGCATGCTCTTCAAAATTATTTCAGGTGAATTTACATGATAAAGTCGAATTACCAAGGCGTGGTATTCACAACAATAAATACCACTACCACACCTGTGGCACATTAGGTGGTAGTCACGTGCACCAATCAAATACGTAGATCTGATGCAAGTAAAAATATCAATCTAGATGCAAATTATACTTCCTTGGCCATAAGGAGAAATATACACATTCAAAGGACTTTTCATCACATTTAGGAGTTGGTGTCCATTTATGCCATTGTTTTTGTTGTGTAATGTAGTCGACATTGTATTGAGACACTCATTTACACTAGGATTATTCAGTTGTGGCCTAGTTGTATGAGAAATGGCTCCCTCACAGTTTAATTCTTCTACAGGCTGAATCAGGTGAGGGCCACCTGAGCGCAGGCAGAGATGAGCTACATGGGGGAGTGGATTGGGGAGGAAGAGTGAGGACATTAACCTAAGTAGCTGAAAGATGAGCCCATCTCCTCCTCCAAGCCTTGCGCGGGACTCCACACAGAGGGATTGGTCATTAGGACAGTGACAAGCGCATATATCAAAGGCATATTACAGGTAGTCCTCCTTCCACAGAGGGATATGTCCATGGCTAGCTGACACTACTAGCCTACCTGCTGGGGAAGCAGCCCCTCTGATGGGCCTCCATAGCAGCTGGACCTCACTGTTCAAACATTGATACTGTCCAGATAGCTCACATTCTGTCATATTAGTGTCTGAGGCAGAAATCTTATTTTATCTATCCAAGGGCCTTCATGAGAAATATCAGTCAGAGATCAATAATATTTTCATTAAGCCTCACCCCAATACAATGTTATTTCATTTGATTCTACAGAATATACTTCACATTGTATGAAAAGGATGTAACAAGTTTTGTTGGAATCCATTTTTTGTTATTACCAGAAGGCTTATTTGTAGGCATTCCTTAGCTCTTCTAAATGTGACAAGTTGATAGAGTGAATTTATCTTTCCATTGAAAGATTGTGCCCAGACAAATAATATTCCATTAGTGTCTGTCTGCAAAATGAATCAAGCTGTTGACGCGAATAATCAGGAATCATCAAGAACAAATTAAGACACAAGCTGCCGTGAGATTTTAAAAGCAATGCAAATACATATTGGCCATTAAAAAACACAATCATGATCTCATGCTACATAAATGTTTTATGCACATTAAAGGATGAAAGGAGATGCATGTTTTGTGATGTAGATAGCCACCGCTATGCTTTAGAGACAAGGCATTGTACCAGTCTGAAGCGAAAAGTATGGGGCCAATTTGTGCCTTTCTGTAATCACTCAACACATCCATTTTCTAATTTGCGCCACAGGAGAGTGGGGCTGATGCACATCTCAGTTTGCCATTGGTTACCTGAAGCATGGCGATAAGTGTCCTCATTTTTTTCAGATTTTCTGTTCTGATATACGACCGTTTCTCTCTGTTAGAGAGGCTGCTCTGTGCTTGTGGGTTTTACATTGCAACAACTAAACTTCTACCCAAGTGAAGATGAATTACTCATAAACCTGGGTTCAAGTCAGGTAGGAGATCATTAGCCTATGTTGAGTCAGTAATAAATGGGGCAAGATAATGAGGCTTTAGGTTTTTGTGACTCATTCAATCAGAATTCAAGCACCCTTTCATAATATAATCAAAATGACACAGGAAATATAATTAGTCTAATTAGTCAGAATATTATCTCAAATGTGATTTTTTTAAATAGTGCATGGACAATATGATTGGATGCTTTGATAAATCTGACTTTGATGTACAATGTAAGTAGTGTAATCCAGGCAGAGGTAATGTGTTGCACTGTAGCAATCAGCCAAATTGTACAACTGAACCTCTGAATTACCTTATGTGCCTCCTCAGAATAGCAGGACTAACAGGATTAGATAGCAGTTAGAATCTACAGGAAGTTCACAGAAAAGAGGGTGACTCATCCCTGCAGAAGGTCAGATGGTTCTGGAATCAAAGCAAATCAACCAGGGTTATCTTCTTATACCCAACTGCAAGTTTTCCCCAATCACTTATGTGCCATAGTTTGTTTAATATTCCATCTCTTTTCAATAATATTTTGAATTTGCGTTAAGAAATAGGGATTTAACAAATAGAATGAATTCATATTTTCCCATTGTTTTTATGGGAGTTTTTATCTGTACAGATCAAATATGGATGGTGTGAATACTTTAAATGAGTAGCTGTTAGGGAAAGATAGAGGTGTGTGTGTGTCCGTGTACACATGTAGGTTTCCCTGTGTGTGTGAGTACACAGCATGTTTTGTGGATGTCTCTGCTCCTGCTAGATATGGAAAGATGTGCAGTGTTGTTTTTTGTGGGAGTGGGTGGACTATGATTGTTTTGCATGGGCTGCATCACTGAGTGCTTCCACAAGTGGATAGTGACACATAACAGATGCTGAGGAGAGATAGTAGGCTGACTACCACAGGTTGGAATGGAGGCTGAAGGGTGGAGGTGGGGGTAGGGGTCCACTACTAACTTTCATTATCACTGGGCTATAAGTGAAGGGAAACAAGCAGCACTATGCTCTCTGTCTGTCTGACAGTCTCCCCACCTCCGCATGATAACAGGGCTCTGCCATTGTGTATAAAAGCACTCTGGCAGGTGCACACTGATATTACATTTTATTTTTTATTTGATTTAACCTTTATTTAACTAGGCAAGTCAGTTAAGAACACATTCTTATTTACAATGATGGCCTACCAAAAGGCGAAAGGCCTCCTGCGGGGACGGGGGCTGGGATTAAAAATAAAAATATAGGACAAAACACACATCACAACAAGAGAGACACCACAACACCACATAAAGAGAGACCTAATACAACAACATAGCATGGCAGCAACACATGACAATGCAGCATGGTAGCAACACCACATGACAACAACATGGTAGCAACACAACAGCACAAAGGCAAGAAGGTAGAGACAACAGTACATCATGCGAAGCAGCCACAACTGTCAGTAAGAGTGTCCATGATTGAGTCTTTGAATGAAGAGATGGAGATAAAGCTGTCCAGGGTGATGATGAAACACCCTAACAGATAACCTTTGGATGAAAAGTATCATTAAAAAGGATTCTGCATGGTGTCCATGATCACACAAGCCATGAAAGAGAATGTCAAAAATATATTTAAAACACGTTTACGCTTGACTGTTTCATTAATCAGCCCCATGCTGGTCAAATGCATTCAAAACAATGTAAAGCAACTGGCACTGTTGAGTGGCAAATGATACAATGTGAAGCATGATAGCAGTAACATAACCACAACAGAAATTAGTCATTCGTAACTGCTCTCCGCTCACCTGTACTTGAGCAATATGCTTTCAATGTGTTGGATTAAGTTCCTGACTAGCAACAGAGATTTGTTGGCTATCTAGATATGCAAGGAGGTGACTCCTCCTAGTAGGAGGGTATAAATATATGTGCTTATGTAAACATGTCTTTGCAACTGTTTGACCCAGTGGGTGAATAAACTTGGTTTGAGCTTTTTCCTAGTCATCCGTTTGAGTTTTACTCTGTTTGTCAGAACCTAACAAATGGAAATTCTAGTTTGGGAATATCCCACAACCACACAGCATAATGTATGATTTGTGCTCGGTTGGTGAGGACGAAGGAATCATGCGTGAAGTTTCCTTTGCTTTATGATGCATATTTGCTTGTTAAGTATGGAGGACTAAAAGTGCCACAATTAAATAAATAAATACACCATTAAATAATTACTTAAATGTGTCATTAATTAATTCAAATTAGAATTAAATACATAAATGTGTTATTAAATGTGTCATTAATTAATTCAAATACCGATTCATTTTATGTAAAATACATATATAATAATTTCACTATTTACATTTACATTTCATGGTCCTGCGTTGGAGTGCTTCCTGAATTACTTAAAACTGTCAAACTGACCCATCAAAAGTTGGTAGGCGGAACCTAACGCCTGATTGGTTACCCTCTGCATCAAGCCAAGACAAATCAATTCCGGATAATGTCAGCAGGTCCTGCTTCTACATCCTCTGCTAAGTTTAAAATGTCTCTAACCAACTCCCTGGAAAGTTCACGGAGATCCTCCATTGTCTCTATCCAGGTTGGCCTACTCTACTTCAGACCAAAGCAATGGATCAGACTAGATTCGCGTTAGCCCCGCCCACTGACTTTGATGGGTCAGTTTGACAGTTTTAAGTAATTCATGAATCACTGCAATGCAGGATCATGAAATGTAAATGTAAATAGTGAAATAATTATATATGTATTTTACATAAAATGAATCGGTATTTGAATTAATTAATGATACATTTAATTACACATTTATGTATTTAATTCTAATTTGAATTAATTAATGACACATTTAAGTAATTATTTAATGGTGTATTTATTTATTTAATTGTGGCACTTTTAGTCCTCCATAGTTAAGGACTAAGTGCATGATTAAGGATTTATCAAGGACTAAGTGCATAAATATGAGCTTACAGGCACTGTCATGGGATTTAAACATGGCATAGTTTCTTTCAAATTGAGTCGGAAGATGTAAAAAAACAACAACAACAAGGCCGTTAGTAGGAGGGGATTCATTAAGATATAAGAAAACCATTCATTTTCTAATGTAAATTAGATGCCATATATTGTTATTTACATGTACAATATTCAAATATGTACCCCATATACAGAAGAACAGTGCTGAAGACAGAGTTACCAATGTTAAAACTGATATTGACAATTTTACAGTGTTGTTTTCGTTCAAATTTCAATGACAAGCCTAAATGCTTATTTCATTTAATTCACGTTAGTTGTCAACTGTAGCTATCAATTATCAATCACAACTGGACAATGGAACTGATGTCTGTGCCCAGTGAGAATGTATCCAGAGGAATAATGTCAACCTCCCACTTGATAACATGACC